AACAAGTCACAAAGCGGTGAGACCTGAAATTCTTGTCTCTAGCATTGCTCGCGTTCGGCTCAGCACACATCAATGAGCTTGGCTGTGAATTGAAGACATCGGATTTTGACGGTGTCATGAGTTGCCGCATTAGGTACATAATAAGGATACTCTCAGCGGCAGGTTTCGCATATACCTGAGTCTTTCTAGATGGACTAATCAGGCGACTGGAGATTGTACCTTTTGCTTAATCTTTTCCCACCACATGGCGTTTTGTACGTTGGATATGGAGAGTTTTTTTAGGTATTATTGGTCTGGTTCAATTGAAGTTTTGTGCACTGTTGTATTAGTACGAACGAATGATAAAGAAATTCATCATGCTATTTGATGTACCTTGATCCATTGTTGTATATCACTGCGGTTGTTGTCACCACTATTGAGCCTTTGGAGTTATCTACTTCTGTTAGAGATGTGCATATCTGATAAGAAGGCTGTCTCCTGTCACCTTATTACGTCATTTCCAGCGTTACCCGACGGGAACCCCTCACATCACGCTCGTTAATTCCGCCATCTTACCATTTACTAACGCAATAAAGGCAGGTCCATTACCGAACCATCTACCGTTTCGTATAATATATATCTGTCCACGAACGTGCAGAACACATAGGTACGAATTTTCCTACGAATAATCCGTATTCATACTAACAACCATGCCTTCAATAACTGAGACTGTAAAAGCACATCAACCAGATCTAGGTCCATACGAAGAACTCTGTAAGTGCCATTCCTTCCGCCCAATAGAGGTAATCACTAATATCGTATTAGACAAATGGTTTCACACTCATCCAGAGCTTTCATTTCAAGAAAAGAACACTGCAGAAGCCATTGTTAAGCACCTCGAGACTTTCAAAGTGTTCACAATCCATTCTTCCATCGGCGGTCATGGAATCGCTGCCAGTTTCTCAAATGGTCCAGGGAAAACTATCCTTTTGCGTGCTGACACCGATGCCCTGCCCGTTGAAGAGCAGACGGGACTGCAGTACGCTAGCACAGCGCGCATGAAAGATCTTGATGGTATTGAGAAGCCTGTCATGCATGCCTGTGGGCATGACATGCACATTACTTCGTTGCTCGCAGCTGCAGAGTGCTTGGTCAGATGCAAGGATGAGTGGAGTGGTGAGTTGATATTAGTGTTCCAGCCCGCCGAAGAGAGAGCAGGTGGGGCCCAGAATATGGTGTAAGTGCAGAGGGACCCCAACAGAACTTCACAAGAATACTGATGAAGTCCAGTGATGACGGTCTATACAAAAAGGTCAAAGAACCTGACGTCGTAGTCGGAGCACACGTCATGCCTGAAAGAGCTGGAGTAATTGGCACGAAACGCGGTCTCATCGCCAGCTCAGCAGACAGATTCCAGTGCGTGAATAATTCTTATTGCCTTTTCCAAGCTGACAATGCCATAGACTCCGCATCCCAGGTCGTCAAGCCCACGCCTCAACCCCCCATCGCAGTATCGACCCCATCGTACAAGCAGCTTCCACGATCATGCGTCTCCAGTCCATTGTGTCGCGCGAGGTTGACCCCCTAGACTTCGCCGTTGTAACCGTCTCGGCTTTCCATGCCGGCGACGCCGAAAACATCATTCCCTCCGAGGCCAACCTGAAAATCGACGTGCGTGCAGGTCTGCCCCAAACTCGCGAGCGCGTTCTAGCAAGCGTAAAACGCATAATAGCTGCTGAAGCAGCTGCTTCCAACAATCCCTCTGAGCCCACACTAACGCCGACAACACAATTCCCCCTATTGTTCAACGATGACGGTGTCACCGATGCGCTAGAGCAGTCTTTTTCCGAGCACTTCAAGGCTGGTAAAATGAGTTATCAGAACGACATTGCGAGGCTCCAGGGAAGTGAAGACTTTGGTATTCTGGCTACGGCAATTGGAAAACCGAGCTGCTTTTTCCTGTATGGAGGAATAGATCCCAATGTATGGGACAAGGCGGAGGCTGAGGACAGGATGAGTGAGGATATCCCTGGAAACCATAGTCCGTTTTTTGCGCCGGTTGTTCAGCCTACTCTTACTGTTGCTATGGAGGGGTATGTTGTTGCGGCGTTGACCTTTTTGAAAAAGGGGCAGTAGTTGAGCAGCTTTGAGAACATCAATGATTTCATGAGTGGTGACGGTTATTTATTCATTGGATAATCCTTTAGTAAATCATGTGAAAGAGTATGTGGTTGTCAAAGATCTCGAATGAGCCACCGCAAATGAAAGCATTTCGGTTGGTCACGAAGTTATCGATGGTATAGAGACGGCTAAATTACGTTATTAAGGTCATGAGATTCTTAGTAAAGAGAAAGCCACTGTGGATATGGTCATCATGCCAGAGCTAGGTGGCTGTATCGAAGGCAGGGAAGGGACCTTGCTATAACCTAATAAGGATCGAAACAGTAGACTACTACCCCACCCTTTCCCCACTCATGTGCTCCCCATATGTTTCCCAGGTGCAAGTATATCCACATCTGACAACCAGGTTGCAGCGCCATTGCCTGGGCAGACACTCCCCTCTTTATATAATATTATCAAATTGCTTCGTACTAATGACGTATAAACGACGATGGTGGGTAAACCTATCAAATCACTTAAAGTCGGCGTCCTAGGAACACCATCATCTTGCCAAGAAGTCTGCCACTCACAATCGCATTACTCACAACCATGTCTCACCAGGAAGATAATAAAAATGCTCCCGAAGAGCACCAGATGCACCGCACCGGCTCATGGTTACCATCCGATCACCGCGTGCACAAGAAATGGCTGGGAGGCATCATAGAAAAGGTGGAAAACAACCCAAAAGATCTCCACCCCGTCATTCAGGAATTCAAGGATTTGATTGAGAAAAACACGCGCATCTACATTCTCGTCAACTCCATGTTCGAAGAAATACCCACCAAGAAGCCGTACAAGAGAGATCCGGGCGGCCACAAGCAAGTTCGTGATTATCACCATATGTTGGAGCTTTTCAATCACATTCTTACTACTGCGCCTGAGTGGAGTGATCATGAGTATTCGGTCGGTGTGGTTGGGACACCATTCAATGCTATTCTGGACTGGCCTATGGCAAGTACAACCGACACATCTAGATATCTGAGCCGAACTAACATATCTGTTTCCTACCTTTAGGGCACACCATCCGGCTTCGCCTTCTTCCTCGACCCAGAAGTCAACAAGATGATTAAAAAAGTCTTAAATGCATGGGCTGAATTCCTCGCCTCCCCCGACTCAGCATACGTGCTAGATAACAACAAGATCGGCTGGTTCAGCGAGCATGGCACACACGATCTCGAGCTGACCGCGAACGTGGGCCACTCCTCCCACAAATTCGACGAGCTCTTTCAATGCGATCCGAAAAAGAAGTACCACGGTTACGAATCGTGGGACCACTTTTTCACACGCCTCTTTCACTCCGACAAGCGCCCCGTCGCCAGCCCTGATGACAACACCGTCATCGCAAACGCCTGCGAGTCAAAACCATACAAAGTGAGTCGCAACGTCGCACAACGCGACCGTTTCTGGATCAAAGGCCAACCATACTCGCTCATCGACATGCTTGCCATGGACCCCCTACACGAGCAATTCATCGGCGGAACAATATACCAAGCTTTCCTTTCCGCGCTGAGTTACCACCGTTGGCACGCGCCCATTAGCGGTACGATCAAGAAAGCGTATCTAGTCGAAGGCACCTACTTTTCTGAACCACTGTTCGAGGGTCTCGGTGATCCTTCCAACAAGGGAGGTATCAGTGAAGAAGGTGAGAAAACGGGTCAGGGGTATCTTACTGCGACGGCTACGCGAGCGATTATTTTTATCGAGGCTGATAATTCCGGTCTGGGCCTTGTGTGCTTTATGGGAATTGGTATGACGGAAGTGTCTACGTGCGAGATCACGGTCAAGGAAGGCGAGCGTGTTGAGAAGGGGGATCAGATTGGCATGTTTCATTATGGGGGGAGTACGCATTGCTTGATTTTCAGGAAGGGAGTGGAGTTGGAGGGATTTCCTGATACCCAGGATGTGGAGCACAATGTTCCTGTTAGGTCGAAACTTGCTGTTGTTAAGAATACTGGTTGAGTGGGTGGGAAATAGAAGGTATTGTAGTAATACAGAGCTTTATATTACTGGTGTCATGAGACTTTACTGATTGAATTATAGAGCTACAAATCTTTTCCATGTGCATCTTTATATCGGAGGTCACATACGGCTTCCATAACAATATGAGTGTGGTACTAGACACTGAAGCCTTAACAACTGCGGGATGCACATGGCTTGTAACTTGAAACTTGAACACTCATTCGGAAAATCTATCAACAGGGGATTTGCAACCCACCACTTTGGCTTGGAATAATTGCTGACAATTCTGCGCCATACACACGGTATCGTCGCAGTCCATGGGGGCAGGCCAGGTGGCGCAGCATGCGTGAGTATAGAGTGGGGCGTAAAATCACTGTAGGACAAACAGTGAGGATGAATTCGTCCCTCCACCCTCCGCAACAAAGTAAGTATGGAAAGCTAACCCTATTTAGTCTTTTTTGAGGAGATGCACATTGCTAAATGAAGCGCTCTTGCATGCTGCAGTCATTTGATTACACGTAAACACAGTGGTGCCTACAGCACTTAGTTGATAATGAAGACCAAACTCCGCTCACCGTTCACGTCGTTCTCATCTGAGTCGGCTTTCTCACCTCACACCTATTGTTCACACCACAATAGAGACAATGACAACACCATACCAGTGCTCGGTCGACTCACTTTGGGAAATCCAGAAATTTATCCTCACCCTCACTCCCAGCCTCCTGTATCATGAAAATTTTACGGCCACAGTATTTTCGAGGAGACAGATCCCTCAACACTAGAAATAATCTCAATTCCATCAACTCGTCTGCTATTTCTCTCGGTACAACCTTGAACTTGGCTACTTAGTTGATTTGAATCTCTATCTTGCAAACTTCAAACTTCAGCAAAAATCTCCAACAATGTCCGACATCAACCCTTTCCCACCATTCCCACCAGCAGTCACACTCGAAGCCGTACAAGCAGCAACGACATCCTACCCAGCCGCCCAGTTCATACCGCACATCCTCAAACTAAGCAGCTACCTCATCAAAATCACCAACACGAGCACTCTCTTCGGAAAACCCTCTAACGAGCCCTACACCCCAAGTCTCAGTACTCTCTACCTCCGCCTGCAAAACGGCCAACTCCCTCCCAGTCGCCTCCCAGCAAACTTCCAGACTCCGCAACAAACTCAATCTCAAATCCACCTTCGCTCAGATAAACCAGCTTACGAACGCCCCTTGGCCGAGTTCGAAGACCTGTACTACGCCATTCTCTCTTTAATGCAAGAACTGCACCACCTCCTCACCATACGCCTCCAAAGCGGCTTCAACACACCCTCTGACCTCGCTTGCCCGGGTGGTCCCACTTTATCTTCCTTACATGAGAGTCTAACAGCGTACTGGTCCTTCTTCAACGACGCGGCGTGTGCCAAGGCGCTCGACGATGCAGTTCGGGAAGCTCGCATTAGGGCTATCCGGGAGGAGATTGTGAGACAAGTTGAAGCGGACGAATTAGATATAGAAGATGCGAGATGCCAGTTAGCAGGGTTGTACGGAGAAGATGTGTATGCTGGAGTTGAAGGAATGTGGTTTGTGAGAGATTGGGCACCGGCGGTGGTAGCGGTGTATTTGGAGGAGAGATATCGTTCTTTGCTGGATGCCGAGAAGGAAGAGAATGAGCGTATGATGGCGATGGTTAAGACCGGGAAGGAAGGGTCAGAAGGACCAGCTGCAAGGGAGTGTTTGGAGGCGAAGACTGAGATGGACGTCGACACGAATCAGTTCCCACAACAAAACCGCGTCGAGCGGGCATCTCACGATACAGACTTGCGCACTGAACAGCAGATACCACAGGACCAACCCTCCGCTCACCACACCCCCGTCTACCATCCCCAAATCCACCACGCCGATACATACTACCAAGAGCACTCCGCAGCCATCCACACGCAGCACGATCCCACATACCCCACCGACCTCGACATCATGCTCGAGTGGCAAGTCCGAAATCAGCGCGTCGCAGAATACACAAACTACCTGCGTTCCCGCGCGAGTCAGGATGCGCAGCAGGCTATTCAGGGGACGAGAAATACTACGGCAAGTGAGAGTTATGTTTGGAATGGGGGGTTGGGATCGGACTTGAATTCGGATAGTCAGAGATGAATTTGAAATTTTGTGATTTATGATTTGAGAGGGTAAGAAATGAATGAGTGGGTGAGGAGGGAGACAAAAGTGCATTTTGCCGTTGATAGGATGGAGGGAATGGGAAGGTCTTGAGATGTTAGGAGTAGGTGGTTGGGAGGTAGTCGGCTACATGCTGGAGTAATGGATTTCCTTTTCTTATAGACGTGATTGTATGAGAGTCTTTTCGTATGATATGAATATCAAGTGACGACACTCCCCTTTTGAAAGTGATAGATAGCGTGTTCTTTTACCGCACTTCTTGTTTTTGATTTTTTTGGTGATTGGCAATGATATATCGAATCGGATATTGGAATGAAATGATTGAATAAAGTCTTTTGAACGATTGAAAGAAATCTAGTCGTGCATTACAACAAATCTCCTCTCAAACAAAACTCGAACGTAAGAAACAAAGCCACAAGAGGTATTAGACTACATCATTACAACCAACTTTACGACGACACAGGAGCAGTAGACTGACTCCTCACCTCAAGTTTCTTCGGCTTCTTCTTAGGCTTCGGCTCCTTACTCGGCTTCTCCTTCTCCTCTTCCTTCCCTACATCCCCTTTCCCTTCCTCCTTCTTCCCCTCCACCCCAGATCCCGCTTTATCCTCCCCTGCCCCAACCTCCTCCACCATAAAATTACTCGCCATGCACCTCCCTCCATTCTGCTTGCCCACATCCATCGGACAAGCACTAAACACCACCACAACATCCCGCTCAGCCCGGAATCTAACATAACACCTCTTCTTGCCATGCGGCTCCTCAACACTAAGTGTGACACCCTTTGCGCCCGCGCCATCATCATGAATATCACCCTCAGCATGCAGCGGCGCATTCATAAAGAGGTGAAGCGGCGTCGGCGCAATGTTAACCGTGATATCCGCGCCAACCGCTTTTGCGCCTTTGAGGCCAGACGTCTCGTTTATTTCTTTGAGGGCGAGAACGAGGTTCTCAGCGCAGCTGCCGTGTTCGGCGGGCTTGTCGATGCCGAGCGCGGCGTACTGGTTGGCGTCGCAGGCGGCGGTGAGGGTGTCGTGGGCGCCAGGGGAGGTGTCTTCGATGAGGGTTAGGATGGGGTTGCGGAGGTTGGTCAGGAGCTCGTCATTGACTTCTGGGACGAGTTTGTGCGAGGCGGTGCGCGTGTGGGGGAGGGAGAGGTATTCCATGGGGGGTTGGGAGGAGTTGGAGGGGTGCATCGAGGCGTAGGCTGAATAGGCGGCGTACACGGAGGATGCGTAACCGGAGCCGGTGGCAGCTATAGAGAGTTAGTGTGTTTTCGTGGTATTGTTTGGTCCTGATAACATACCAGCCATTGTTCCTGCGCCCACAGGTGTCTTGGAAAAGTCGTACAGTTGTTCCGCATAGCTCTTGTTTGGGTCTCGGTAGTGACTTGACTTAAATGCGCTTATGACAGACTTGGAGTCTGGGACTTCGACATTGGGCACGTAGCTTGAGAAACTCTTGCCTGTGGGTAGATATGAAGACCATTTCTTAGTATTCTCCTCGTTCTGTTTCTTCAATTGCTCGGCACTGGGCTTTTGTTCCACCTCTTGCTTGTTCGCTGCACCTTTGTTGCGGTAGGGAATCGAGGGGAGGTAAGACGCCCAAGTGCGTTTAGCAGGTTGCTTGGATGGTGACTCGGTTGATTCCGTCATCTTCTCATTCTCGGGGGTATCTGTCGCTTTTTCGGAAGGAGTTTGAGATTCTTGACTTGTTTCGTTGGCAGTATCCTCACTCGAACGTGTCTCCTTTTCGCCGTCCTTCGACTGTGTTTCCTTCTCGCCGTCTTTGTCCTCTTTATTCTCCTTACTTTCACCCCCTTCACTCTCCTTCTTGACCTCCTTATCTTCCTTTGCCGTCTCTACCTCCTGCTTTTCGCCCTCTTCAACCACCTTCTTTACCTCCTCTGCCTCTTTCTTAATTTCCTCCTCATTCAACTCCTCTCCCTCTCCTTCCTCAGGCGGCGGACCCAGAGTAAAAGCCCACATACTGACTACCTGCTTCCCATACGTATTAATAACCTTGATCGTCCTGCCTCGGGGCACAAAAGTCGCAGCCCCATGGCGCGCAGGTATAGTCTGAAGTTCACCCGACATATCTTCGGCAGTCGTAAAATCGTGTCCGTTTGCACTTTCTCTTTTCTTTTTTCGCTGCTTTTCCACCGCCGATAACACAGAAACAAGCGCGATTCCAGCGAGCGCGCGACGAGAAGGGACTTTGGGCGCCGTCTTGAACAATTTGTATGAGCTGGCCAGCGAGCCAGCAGGAAAACAGGATGCAGATAGAGGTGGCAACGGCCGTTAGTGTATCTTGCTTTGCCTTGTGTAGGTTTCAAACGGCATATAGTAGACGGACTAGAGCCTCTACCATTTCATTGGAACGGTGACGTATGTGGTCGCACATCATCATGACTGCAGCCCACGATTTGCTGGCGGGTGGCTTGACGAACATGGAACCCCTTGCAGTATATCCTGTGCACTTTTCTTGTCAGAATGCAGATGACGCAGTAGACGAACCCTGTTTTTTCGGCCAGGATACAGACCACTGAAGCCTGCTCAGAAATGCTCAGAGAAGGTGTCTATGTAAGCACGCGCTAGGACGAGTTAGGACAGATCGAGCCTAGACACCAGATCAATGAGATCAACGCTAGCTGGACCATCTCCCTAGCCAGATGTACGGTAGAAAGAATTATATGCTCGACGTTAGACCTATATTTTGTAGTGAGTATCTGTCGTAGGTTCTTGGTTGAGATCCAGATTCAATGTATTTTGAGCAACAGCACTCTCAGCACAACTCTTCACGGCCTAATCGATACTTTACAACTCTTTCGTCCACTTCTATATTTAATCCTCAAACATCAAGTGTGATATTCTGAAAAACTCCCACGCCAGATTGGAGTAAACCAAACAAGCGCGGAAAGAATCTTGTTCGAACATAACATGGATGTATCGTAGACTTCTCGATATGTAGACTTTTCGATAGGTAGACTTTATAGCACCGAGTGAGTGTATTGCGTATTGAACCGCGGTGGCTGCTAGAGTAGAAGATCACAGTGCATGCATGCGATAGCTGCAACTTGAGAGTGGGGAGCAGCACTTTGGTAGGGGGATGGAACGGGTATATGATAACCCAGTTGATTTCTTCTGTCCCCGATAAGTCTCATCACTCTATAGCTCAAGTCCTTGTTCTTTGCAAACTTTTGAATCGCATTCAAGAAATACAACCGGTACAGGCAGGATGTTAGCTGGATTTCTTGCCAGATATCGGCCTAAACTGCATAGGTGACCACACAACTGTTTGCCGAGCCGAATGGTAAAGTTGGATTACGTGTTATTCTATTGCCGCGATTGCTATCCTGACCTCCATTGTGAATTTCAGAGATACAAGTTTAACAGTATTTTCTGGAAACGGCCAAGCAAGACGTGTGCTGACTATGACAGAGCATGGATCTTCTGTCCTCTTGTTGTCCCTAATTATCTCAGTGCTATATTGTCTAGCCTGAGTGCAGACCAGACGGTCTTAGCAGAGTGTTTTCCTGTTACTCTTGGGTTCCACAGACATCTGCTCATATACCAACTAATTCTATAACTAATATACATGACTTTGAGATTTCTAGTTACACGACCAGGCTATGTCACGTGGTTGGTGTTAGACAGGGAAACAGTTGCATTTGCCGATAGTATCTCTCGAACAAATCGCAATTATCGTATGACTCTCCGTTCTCCTGTATCAAGTGGCATGCTTGGATGCGGCGCATTGCAGATAACCATGCATTCAGCGAACATGACTGGACGCCACAGAAAGGAAGATCATGCCGTGTTACACCACGCGCGCGCTGTTCACATCAGGCTGTGCTGTGCAACCCCGCCTTGAGTGCTTATATCTTGAGCATGTAAGTAACGAGGTTCCTCGCACCTACAAACGGCGTCAACTACTTCAACAATTGTGATGGCAGCGAAGATGAGCGAAAATTTCACGTTGTGTTCGTTTGAGGAGTACGTATCTTAACGCAACAACCTAATGCGACTTATCTTCCTGACATCAGATTCCTGGCAGCATGATACAATCCGAGGTCTTCATATTCAACATCGGCAAAGACAGCCGCAGAAGAAGTTTCTCAGTGCATTCCAAAGTCGTCGCTGCAACATCTTCGTATTTTCGGGCGCTTGTCAATAACGGCATGGTGGAGTCGTGCACGAAGACAGTCGAGTATCCTGACGTTGAACCTGAAGACTTTGCCCGCTTTATTGAGTATGCATATCGCAATGACTATTGTGTCCCTACATGGGTGCATGAAAAAACGGACGAGAAAGACAAGGCGTTGCCTGTTCGAAAACCCACAGTAATCGAAGAACCGAACCAGAGGGCAGCATCCCTTTTTGGCCAGTCTCCTCCACACAGCTGGTTTGGCCTGCATTCAACACCACTCTCTGGCCAGCCTGCTCGACAAGCCGGATTCGGCCAGCCTTCTCCAACGCCCCTCTTTGGCCAGTCTGCTTCACAGGCCGGGTTTGGTCAGCCTTCTTCAACATCCCTCTTTGGCCAGCCTGCCCCACAAGCCGGGTTTGGCCAACCGTCTTCAAAAACCCTATTTGATCAATCTTTACCAGAAAAAAAGAAAAAGCCCATATTTGAAGGCGGGGATTCTGTACGCGCTCATTTTGACACACGCAGTTACCTCGCCGCAGAGGATCCCAGGACAGTCATGCTCGTGACCTTCGAGCCCAAGCACAACACCGCACCCAATCAGGATTTCACACCAGTGTTCCTAGGACACGCACGGCTATACACATTTGCTTGTATGCGTGGAGTCGATCCGCTCAGACGCTTGACACTACACAAGCTCCACCGAACACTACTCGGCTTCCAGCTCTACTCGCGACGCGTATGGGACATTGTTGAGCTTGCAAGATATGCATACAATCAGGGTGAAGACAGAAAAGTCGACGGCACAAAGGACGAATTGAGACAGCTAGTGCTCGAGTACATTGTACGCGAAGTGACGGTTTTCGGAAAGCATCCAGCCTTTCTACTTCTACTGGAGGAAGGCGGAGAGTTTGTCGTCGACTTTTGGAGTCTGGTGTCCAAGGAGAAGATTTGAGACGTGAAGAAGCCAGCAACGGGCCAAACTTCACCCCAACAACCTCAGGTCGTCACGACCGCGACAGGGCACGAGAAGTAACTGCCCAAAAGACCCCAGCTCATCGACAGACTTGTCATGTGACCAATCCACCGACATGTCGACATAAGAAATCAACTCTTGCTCATGACTCTGCATGCTCTCACCCTGACACAGCGCTTTATCTTCTTCTTGACTCCATCTCCCCAGATCCCTTGTCAGCGGCATACCAGCCAAAACATGGACTTGACTCGCAAGCCCGCCACATGTGAAAACACTCCATGAGCATCGCGTAAACACAGCCATGAACAAGGTGCGTCGTAGCGACTCAGTGAACACCCAGCGTGAGCGCTCATCCGCAAAGAACGGAGTGTCATAACAAGAGCGATGAAAAAGACTGGTAGCCCATCGTTCAAGCAGCACATTATGCTTGACAGCCTGTTCCTGCGCCCCCAAAATCGGGTCAAAAAGACGGACAATCTGATAAATGATGAGCGCCTGCACCGCCGCTAGATGCTGCATCAACGACCAAGTTGGCGCCTCTTTCACCAAGGCAGCGATCTTGGCATTGATACTATTAACTAGGATATTACCAGTGTAGCTCGCGTTCTGGGCCATGTAGAGGGCAGATATCGCAACGCAATCCTGATATGCCATGGGCTGATCGTGATCGGCAAACAGATTGCGATGCAAGAAATGCGTTGTACCCGAACACGCCATGCTTGTAACCAACGAGCACAGCCCTTCGATGACGAAGGTACTCTGCCGCTCGTTGAGCAGCACAGGTACGACTACGGTTGGTAGCAAGGTCCTGCGTAGCGGCGGGCGCGGCGTCAGCGAATTGTCATGTCCCATCCACACCTCTGGACTCGCCGACGACGACGACGAGCCCTCGTCGGATTCGCTCGACTCGCCATCGCGCCTCAATACTATCCACGGATCGCGAGCTGCATGGCCAAGTTCTTGAGTGTGGTTGACACGGGGGCTACCAAAGTCGCAGTCCGGCTCCACGCTTGTGGCCGCGTTAGCTGCAGCGGTCGCGGATGCGATATTTGCAGGCTGGCTGAAGTCGAGTGGTGGTGGCGCGTCAGTGTGTCTGATAACAATCTCAGTGTCGCGGACCGAAACAGGCGTTTTACGTGGATTGGGATATGCGCAGTCGAGGCCCTTGACAAAACAGCGTTTGCAAAAGGGGTAGCCCAGGTCGCAGCGCCGCTTGGCCTTTACGCAAGCCGTGCAACTCTTTTTACGTGTTGAGGAGATGTAGCCTAGCATTTAGGTTTAGAGTGGAGTGTGCACGTTCGGTGCGGGTGCGGAGATTGTGCTTTTGCGCGGGAGCGATGGGTGGTCGATGTGCAAAGGAAATATCATGGGAAGGGCAAAAGCAAAACAGCATGTTGATCGTCCGTGGTATTTTGTTGATAAGTGGTGGTGGTGAGGGCGCAAGGCATCCAGCCTTAGTCAGCGGGAGGGAGAGTTGGTGAGTGCATGCTGGAGGATGGGATGACTGCTGAATAATGGTGTAACGTGACTTGTCTCTCCCCGTACCGACATACTACTTGTGGTGTAGAGGAGGAGGGAAAGAGCCCGTGGATGGTTCCTTCCCTGAGCACGTGGGCGGGCAGGGCTCTAGATAAATTCCTTGACAAATGGCCGCAGTGTGCCGTCGCAAGCCCCTCGCCAGTTAGCCAGCGCGTCGGAGTATCTTAACTGTGCTTGGCTCTGACCTTGTGTATTAGGCCCGACGAAGCCGTCTCCATGTAGTCAAACAATTAGTCGCAGACACTCGCGACGGCGCCAAGCGTGAGCGGCAGACCGAGGGCGCAAGAACCCACCTGCTGAATTTAGCCTCTGGGCCCGTAAATCCGCTCGATGCGGTCTAGACCGAGCGTCAGTAGCCTTCTCGGCCAAGCTCGCGCTCAAGGACGCCTTAATTTACCGTCCAACCAACCGCACTCTCTCCCCTCACGCACACACCACACCACCATCATGTCCGACTTGAGATGCAAACATGGGACAGACAGAGCGGGGAAACGGGCGTGCCGGGAGCCACAGTCGGGGTGCGGCATTCAAATAAGCGCAAACAGTGGCTACGCGAGCACCGGAGCGCCGCCAGAGCTGGCGCGACGCCTCGTCTTGGTCTCGTCCCATTGGTCTTGTGATTGGATGCTGATGTCATTCACGCCTGGCCCGTGCCCGACTTTCACATGAAAGAAGGGAGTGTTGCAGCTTTTGCATTGGCACGCACGCAACACGGACAACGGCCCCACGCACGCATATGCAAAGTCCCACGGTGCGCTTCACTTGCCCTAGAAGCTTGCGTAACCAGGGAACAAGTCGTCAAGTTCCGCTCAAACTCCAACCCACTTGCCCCATCGACCAAGTAAAAGGAGCAGGCCAAAAACCACCGTCGTCATCCCTCGCTATTGTTCCTATCTCCCGGCACGGAAAAAATAATTCCACCTTGTCCTTACTTTGTCTCGGCCTGAGCGACCGACGGCACTTGCCTTGTCCGACTGCTGTGCTGTGCTGTGGTGGGATCCAACTGATATTCATTGCCGCTACCCGCTCTCCTCAGCTGGGCTATCCCATCATCTTCCACCCACCCCCTCACCCGCTCACCTGATATCCTCGACTCCGCTCTCCAAACACCACATCCCACTTCACACTACCACACATTACAACCCATACTGCTCGCGTCTTCACCCACACCACTCGACCCATCTCTTTCAGCAATGGACGGCATAGAAGCCATGGGTGCACGACGTGCCATGTCGCTCATGTTCACCGTCCCCGAACGCTTCATCAGCTTTGCCCACATGGACCAAAAGACCTTTTTCGAACTATCAGACTGGATCCTCGCCAATGTCGCGTCGCAAATCACACCCGAAATCAGCGTCGAGGAGTCGCTCTTTGTCTTCCTAGACATTGTCGCGCAGGGAAACAGCTTCAGCGAAGTGGCGTATGGATGGGATCATGACGTCGAGCTGACCCAAGGGTACGTTACACCCCTTGCTTTGATCTACCATCGTCGACCCTTACTGACTCTCTGCCTATGTAGTATCTTCCTGAACGTCCTCAATGCCCTGACCGTGCTGCGCGAACGCCGAGAAATTGCCGATTCGTGCCCGCCCTTCACCCAGACCCGTAAGCGATGGGAAGTCGCCCGACGCTGGAACCAGAAGCGATCACGACCAAACCCCAGTGGTGTCGTCAGGATAGGCTACGATGAAATGTGCCGAGACGGCCTCGAGGTCGATCAGGAATGCTTAAAAGAGGCACTGGTTGCACTCAACAACTTCATCCACGAAAACGCGGACTACGACGAATCATGAACACCACCCTTCTTTTGTTATTCTTCTCTTGTTGTACTTTTCTTATCTGATTTCTTTTGTTTCCTGCATTTTGTCCGGTGTTGGTTTGACTTTCGGGTAACGACTTGGGCAGCGCATAGCGTCGGATGGAAGGGTTCAATCCGGTGTTCAGATGGGCTGCGTTTTTCTTTCCTTTGTTGTTCTCCATTCATATGTACACATATGTACACCCTTCTCTTTCGTAGGTCACGGAACCACGATCGCTGTCAGCCTCGGTGCTGCCGTCCAAATTGAATCTTTACTCCCACACATATCCCCCCGCTTGGAAACGTCTCATCCATCTCTTCTCTAGTGCACAACTCTACCCCAACGCCACTGCACCAACCGTCCCCTTAGCCAACACCCCCAACCTACCCTTCTTAATCCCCAAACTTTGTTCAATTCTCTCGTCCGGCTCCCCCTTCTCCCTCCTCATCAATGCCAACGTAATCACGCCAGCATCCACATACCGTCTTCCTTGGAATCCCCTCCTCCCCACCTCTCTCAGCTCCTCCTCCGCCACCTCAGTAATATGCTGCCGTGACTCGAGAACACGTAGCACAGGATTATTCCTTGCATCAGGAAACGCCGACTGCGGCGCGTCTTGCATCATTGTGTCCGACGGAAGACTAGGCGAGGCATTGCGGCGAGGATCGAATTGCGACGTCGACGACAGTGAAAAGTGCGGATTCGGTTGTACGGCGCCGAGGCTATTCAGACGGGAGGCGAAGGCTGGATCGCGGGCATCTTGTAGAACAGCTGTTGAATGGGGAGCGAGAGAGTTAGCTATGTGGCTTTCCATGGAGGTAAGGACCAGTAATTGCTTCTGTATATCAATGGAGAAATTACCGTACCTTCTGTCTTTTCACTTGTAGCCTGCGGCGCAGGATGTACACGGGGTCCGGCCGCAGCATTCTGTACGGGAGCCGCAGACGCTGCAGTCGTAGTACTTGTCGGTGGTCTTGAGGGGTATTTACGAGCTGCGGAGCCGGCAGCGGCTTTTGCGCCTTTAGATGCTGAAGCGCCCATTGTGTTTATCTTTGGGGCCCTGTGGGTTGTTTTTTGTTGGGAATGAGGGGTAAATTGCGTGTGGGGATGCTTGCGGCTATTTGATAGGAGTGAGTGAGAGAGGTATGGGCGGTGATAACGACGAAGCGGGCGCGATAACAGGCATGCATTTGTTGGGGGCAACTTTGTCGAAGCTCGGGCCAGGCCGTCATGACGATGATGTATGAGAGATTCCATGTGCCAAGTCTGGGGTGGTCGAATCAAAGGGGAGTTCACCGATTGGATAACTGTTTGCATAAGTGCGATCAACGATATTATGAAAGTAAGATATATTTGGAAATGAATTTGTTGACATAGGAACTTTTTACATGGTGCTATTCTACCCAGCGAAAGAGGACTCGGATCTATGGTAGTTGGCCATCCGCACGGTAATGTCCTGCAACTAGGAACGCCAATTCCAGAGCCTGCTTCTCATTCAACCGAGGATCACAGTAGGTCGTGTAGTTCAAGCTCAGATCCTCGTCTACAAGACCCTCACTTCCTCCCGTACACTCCGTAACCGCATCACCAGTAAGCTCAAGATGCATGCCACCTAGGAAGGAGCCGTGCTGCTTGTGGATCTTGAGCGCGGACGACAGCTCAGAGAAGATGCTGTTGAAGGAGCGGGTCTTGATGCCAGTGGGGGTACTGCGAGTGTTGCTGCAGGGAGATTAGCTAATATAGAATATACGATGCATAAACACAACTTACCCGTGCATTGGGTCGCACTGCCAGACAACAACATGTCCACTGCCCTTCACAGCCTCAATATGCGAACCCAGCATCGACTCAACCTTGTCTGCACCGTAGCGGGTAATTAGAGTAATCTTGCCAATCTCTTTATTGGGGTTGACGATATTGAGCAGCTCTACTAGCTCATCGTTTTTCATGGACGGTCCGACCTTGATACCAATGGGGTTTTCAATACCTCTGAAGTATTCTACGTGGCCACCGTCAATCTGGCGTGTTCGGTCTCCAATCCAGATGAAGTGCGCAGAAGTGTTGTACCATCCCTTGCCATCATTTGAGGGCTGAAAGGGTGTGTAGCCAGCTGGATGTTTGAGCCGTCTTGTCAGGCTCTGTTCGTACTCTAGTACAAGACCTTCGTGGCTGGTGAAGAGGTCTACTGTTTGCAGCTGGCCAGAAGTATCCGCACCAATAGTCTTCATGAAGCGAAGAGAGTCGGATATGCTGTTTACAATCTGTGAGTACTTTGACTGTAGTGCCTCGTCCCTGACATGGCCAAGTTCCCAGTCCAACGGGTTGTGCAAGTCAGCGATGCCGCTTGCAAGCTGTGCACGGATGTAGTTCAGTGTCGTCGCAGAATGGAAGTAGGCGCTGACCAGCCTATCTGGGTCCACTCTCCTAGCCTCTGGATCATAGCCGTTGAGAATGTCGCCTCGGAAACTGGGGATCTCCTTGCCATCCAGCATCTCGGTAGGGCTTGACCTGGGTTTCGCATACTGTCCTGCGATACGGCCAATGCGAATGACGGGTTTGTTTGAACCCCAAATCAAGACCAAACTCATCTGCAAAAGAAGTTTGATCTTGGCATCGATGGGGTTGTCGGCGCAGTAAGAGAACAACTCGGCGCAGTCGCCTCCTTGGAGTAAGAAAGATTTGCCGAGGGCGGCATCACGCAGACTGGCCTTGAGTCTAGCAATCTCTGTTGGTGTGACAATGGGTGGTAGACTTGATAGCTTTGTCAGAGCAGAAGTCACCGCCGCCTGATCCTCGTACGTGACGACCTGCTTGATAGGCTTTGATCTCCACGCTACATCTCGTTAGCATATGTACTTGAAGGGTAGTATTTGCTCTCACAATCTGGCGACCATCCTTCAGACCCGCCATTAGTTGTTGACCCTTGGTTTGAAACTTCCATGACTCTCAGCTGAGTTGGCGTCTACTGTCAACTGTGATGTCGTAGATCTGGCTGTGGAGTGAGTAAACTTTGCAGATCCCACTTGTCACTCGCAACGTACGTTGTACCTTACAGCTAGCTTCCACGTGCAGTGACTGGAGGAAAGTCAGCTCAAACCACGTTTAATGTTTTGAGTCACTTTGATTACAGCGTTAATATAAAGTAAAGCTCGGCAGGGGTGTCCATCCCTACCCAGACCGCGGGACACCCGAACAAAGGCGTGCAAAGTCGCGCATGACTCAAGAAAACCAAAAATCTGCCACAGAAACACAAACCAGCAAAATGCCATAACAGTGCGCAATAAACTCACCTTGTATTCCGAAAGCGAAACGTGTCCTAGAAGCCCAATGACAATGCAAAGCGACAAGGTCAATGTAACTCAAACGTTGTAAAGTTGCAAATCCAGTCCATATCGCATGTGCGCAATAAAAACCCCCTCATCCCATCCAATCAGCATCCTCAAATTTTCCAATTGGTCCGCTATCAGATAATTCACCAGCAATTTACCCCACACCCTCGTCACTCATCCGCCCACCGTCCCCAATGAGCTTCCAGACAGCTCGCACTCCCAATTAACTTCTACACCTTCAACACATCCTTACGCCCACCACCGCACTCCAATCGCAATGGCCGAACCCCAACCCCCCACCATCCACGAAGGCGCCTCGACCCCCGCCCTCGACGACGCCGCTTCTACCCCTCCCAATGGCACGAAGAAAGAAGTCGACGGCAAAGCCCTCGACAAAGCGATGAAAGGGCTGAGCGTAAAAGATAAGGCGGAGGAAGAAAAGAAGAAGAATATTAAGATTGAGGCGAGCGATGTGGCGGTTTTGGTACGTTGGATTTTCCTTATATACACATACGTATGGGATTGGAGGGATGGAAAAGAAGGAAGACCAACACACTAGCATTGTGAATGGTTGGGGCTGACAAGAATCCTCGAAATAGGTATCCGAGTTGGAAATTACAAAAGCGAAAGCGACGGAGTTGCTACGGGCGAATGAGGGGGACGCGGTCAAGGCTTTGGTTGCTTTTGTTACTGCGGCGCCTTGAAAGGGTGGAGCTGAGAAAAGAACAACGAAGTGATACATAAGGGCAATTTGGCTTGGGGTTTGGGGGATTGCTAGAGGATATAGGGCGCGAAGATGCGCTTCAGCGGGAAGGACGATAGCGCTAGCAATGGCTGCGCGACTTGCTGTTGTGAAAGGGGGACCTGATAAAAAGGTACGTGCGTGGATGTTTGCCAGAAGCCAGGACATATGTGTGAGATCCGTATATGTCCATGTCAAGAGCAGAGGAAGACGGCCCCATACACTACATGCGCCAACCGCATGATTTACGTCTTCTGGCTAAGCAAATCGACAGATTGGAGGAAGCTGGGTATCATATATAATATATTCACCAAATCTATAAAAGCCTGTGTTGAATCGTGTTTCCTTTTGCCCCTCTGTTTTTCAGCTCCTCATTATACTAGTCAAGGCATTTCATTCGTCATCACTATTAAGAACGACGGGTCTCTTCCTCTTTCTACCAGCACCTGGTCGTGCTCCGCCCAAGTTCCCACTCCTCTTCTCGGTGGCCATCACCGGCGCAACATCAGACCCCCTCTTCCGCGGTCTGCCTGGTCTCCGGCGCCCCACAGTACTGCCATGCCGTGCAGACCTGCGCACTTCTTCACCTCCGTTTTCCTGGCTATCACCAGTGATGAATTCATCATCGTCCGTGTCCTCCACATACTGGCTTGTGGTCGTCTCTTGTGATGTACCGGCTACGGACATTTCGCCATCACTCGCTTCGACGTCGAAACCAGTGTCAGATCCGGTAGACTCGTTTCTACAGAGACTGTCTCGTAACTTCGACGCTCTCTTCACACCAGGCGTGCCAGTGGCAGTTTTGCGTGCTCGCAATGGCCCTGGTAAAGACTTTGCAAGCGCCAATCTGGCTTCTTCCTCTAGCATCGCCGCCCTCTTAGCCGCTTTTGCGGCTCTAGCCTTTGCAGTAGCTGCCAGTATACGTGATCGGTCGCGCTCCACAACTGGCTGGCTTGTTTTGCTGCCTGCATCCACTCTCTTCACCTTTTGCTTGGTCTCTTTGACCGCAACAACCTTGCCGTTTGGTTGCTTGAACTGTGCTGTCTTCTCTTTCGGATAATTATAATTGAAGTACAATTCTGTACCCGCCTTGATGTTGGTCGTGGCAAAGAGTGCTATGCGAAAGACGGTGTTGCAGAGGAGATTCCTCGGCGCACAGTTGGTGTATTTATCGTCAGCATTGTTGATAAAGCGGAGCTTGTTGCCCATATATGTGGCGTCCACTTCTTGTTCTAGGCACTGTATTAGGACTATATCAACAAGACGCAATGGAAAAACTTACTCGAGTTCAGACGAAATAGATACATCGTCTTCTGATAGTCGTAGATGGTGAGTCTGCGATTGCCTTCATTGACTGAGATGGCTTCGCCAGTGTACTCGCCAATATACTCTCCTTTCTCGATATCTTCACCCATGTACAGCCCGAATCCATGTACTTCTGAGTGTCCAAGCAACGTCTTTCGAGGAACGCCCCGCTGGATTGCCACGTTGAAACAGTTGCGGGCTACCACATCTTCGTTGTATCGATTGACAGGATCGAGGATCTCAGTCGCGCCACATGACCCGCAGAGTTCTGCGTCACACTCTCTGTTGAATTTGACACAGAGACATTTGTCTGAATCACAAACCCGCTTTCCTGGAATGACCAGACAGCCGCAACCAGGGAACCGCCGATTGCATGATTGGGAGCACTTGCAAGTCTTCTCGCAGGTGATACCCTCCCTGTAGCACCGGCATTTTGCATCCTCGCAGCTACCTTCGTGATTGCATGGGAAAAACGGTTTACGCTTCTCCCAGTGCTGCACAAGGTCCCGTTGCAACCACCAGTGTGCATTGAATTTTCCTGGTGGTGGTTTCGCGCCTCTAGACGCAATCATTTCTGATTCGGGATAGGCGTTGAATGCGTCGGGATTTGCTGGTAGTTTGTAATTGATCACCTTCTCAATGTCTGAATCGTCGTCGAAATGCGCAGGCAAAGGACCCGAGTCTTCATCGAGCGTGCTTCCTGAGCCACGGCGGCTACTTTGAAACTCATCTTCGTCCTCGTCTGACTCAGTCATCCACGAGTCTTCGGGGACTTGCCTTAACTCGCCATGGAGGAGGCAATTGTGCCTGGGAATGTCGTCAATATATCAATACAGCATAGCATAGATTTGCACTTACTGGTGACACACCCTGCACCAAATCTGTCTATATGAAGATTGGACAGGATTTTTTCCGCTTAAAGTTTTCCTCATAATGTTGTTTTGGACAATATCAGACTGTTGTGCCAGATACCAAATGCTGAATTCGCATTCCTGTAGCACAGCAGAGCAAGCTGTAGCCGCTAGCCTCAGCGTCGTTGCAGAGGGTCTTTCGAGTTGTGCGATAAAGTCCTGCCATTTCTCATCGTCACGGTCGAATAAGGTTGTCTCCTTGACCTCCTCGTCTCGCTCAAATTCCTCAACGCTATACTGCGATCTTTCAAGCAATACTGATGAGAAATTCTCGCTTCCAGATATGCCAGCATTGATCTGCTTGATAACATCATCGGGTGCTAGCAACCAGTATAGCACTTCGTTCCAAGTCACGCCAATCTCGCTCAGGAAAGCTTCAATTGCGGTTTTGTAGAACCTACACTGCTCTTTCCGGAGATCGATCGGTCCCTTCTCGTCGTGTGTCAATTCGTATATAAACGGAAGCGCATCCAAAAGAGCCCGCCGGCTCTCGTAATCTTCGTCTTCAAAGTATGGTGTTGCAAGCAACTTTGACTCGTTGTCAGCTAGAATATTGTTTCTCAAGCTAACATATTCCTTAAAAGGAGGTATAACGACAACTTCCGACCGGAACTTTGTTGTATGTGCCGATAGTCCTGACCGAAACACTGTATCTTTTGGCTTGGCTTTGACAAAAACCTCTTGTGCCATATCAGGGAGACCTTTAGAAGCACAGCTGCGATCAAACGGCATTTGTACGACAGGTATATCTGCAAAGGGAGAAGTGTGTTGAATGAATTCCTCCGGCAAAGTCTGCTGGGTGAGAAACTTCTGTTTGCGGCGGGCGCGGAGGTCTCGTTCTTGACACGTTCTCTGATGGCGCAGCTTAATCCAAGTCAACTTCGCATGCGCTTCGTTCCGCTCAGCAATATGTCTTTTTAGACATTCATCTATTGCTGACCGCGTTGCAGTGAGGTCATGCACGTGACTTGACCAAATGCTATTGACATTAGGAGTCACATCCTTCACAGGTGGTGTGGCTTTGCGGAAAGACACTTCGACTGGTGCTATGTTTGTCGTGTTGGATGCTGCCTCACAGAATGTCCGGGGAAGCGCTACAGGATTGTATCCATGGAAGTCTTGGATTTTTGGGTGATCGCGAGGAACAGACTCAGCTCTTTCTTGAGGCTTCAATGGCAGTGGATCCAGTGTGGCATCGTGGCCTTTTGGCCTTTCCGTTAGACTAACTTCAAGATTCGAAATGGCGCTATTCTGAGATAGGGGCCCTTGGAATGGCGCGGGGCTCACGGCTCGAGGTTCTGCATTGGTCGACTCTCTGTGAACTTGGACTTCATCTTGCAATGCGTATGGCGATTTGTGATGATAAGCTGTCGATTTGTGATTGTTTGTTGATTTGTGACTGCCTGTCGAATGTTGCGGCGCTCTGATCTGGACGTAGTTCTTTTGCCTCACTGACTTGATCGCTTTCTGTTTCGGCTGAACCAAAGTGACACTACCGGAGAAATCAGACATACGGGCTTTTGCAGCCATAGGAAACGGCGATTCGAGTTTGTTGGCATGCGCTGCCGCGGTTGCGCGCTCAGAGGTGTTTACGCGACGGCAAGTGGCCCGTTCGCGCTGATGGTCGGCGAGATCCCCGATTGGTTGCGAGAATGAAGGTACTGTGTCATTTGTTGCCACGGGCTTGTGCAACGGGTATGGGTAGTGTGCTCTGTCTGCAATAGATATAGAGAAGCCAGTATCGTGATTCAGTATTGCTCCAATGGGAATAGCTGGCACAGACCTGACTGGAGATGTCTGCGATAGGAAGCTACTGGATTGCGCAATCTCCAGTGGAGGGCGTGAGGTTGACAGCTGTGGGATGGCTGTATCCTTGTACTGTTCAGGACGCTGAGCTGACGATAGACACACGTCCAGAATTGATTGGTTTAGTAGCTCCGCGCCTGTAAGTTGCTGCGTCACTCTGGGGCGGATTGGTTCGTCTTCATCGGTCAGCAGATCAATGATAGTGATGGGTTTGACTGATGGTGGCCGTTTCAGTGATGGTTCCGTAATGCTTCTTTGTTCAACTTGTTGATGGACCCTTAGCAGCTGGTTGACAGATTGTTTTTGTTTCACCCTTGCTCTTTGTGCGATGGCTTGTTCCCAGGCAGATTGATGCTCCACCTCTTCAATATCACCTTGTTCCAGCGTCTGCGTATTGAACCGTCTTACAGGTGGTACAGGTACAGGCGCATGCATGTATCTGGAATTTTCATCATCATTGTCCTCAAAAGTGATGGGCGCGTCGAGAGAGTCGCCGCGTGCCATTGCGGTGAGCCGGGTCTGGATGAAGAAGAATCCACGCTCAAATCAGTACAAGCGAGGAGCGGTGAGGCCGAAAGATTGCAAGAGACATGGCCACTCGAGAGGAGCCATCAAAGTCTCCAGTTCAACGTGTTACTGTGAGCATAGTCAGGTCGTAATGTTTGTCTGACCCGGCATCGTCCGTCGCGCTAATATGTACGGAAGTCACGTCGTCACGTGGCTTATATAATCCCTGCAATTACTCCACCTCGGTCCCTTCAACCTAAGGCATCGTAAGACGAGTAAAGTCAAGCATTCACTCAATCTCGGTATAGGACCAAAAGAAAAATGTCAATTATGTGTGTTTCATTAGCGAGGGGCTCCTTGCAGATGCCTGGCTCGAAGATAAACTAGAAAGTGATGATTAGATCATCTGAGTTACAAAAAAGCCCAGTCCGCCTCAAGAACCTTCGATTTTGAGCATCTTCTGCTACCCTACGAATAGTGACCCATCCTTACTCCTGTACGAATGCAGTCCAGTACGGCTACTTCAGAGTGATTGCTCACAAATCATGTCACGCAGCATTAAGAAATTTCGCGCAAAAGGAAATCGCAAGCTGCCCCAAATCCCTGCCAACAATCTACCACAATTACAAAACAGTAGGACCATTCCTTCGTCACCTAAAATCTACCCCAGAAAGTTTTGCTGTTGCTGCTGTCCGGGCCGTGGAAAAACACTTGTTGTTGGTACTTGGTCAAGGTTGATTCCTCCTAATGTACCTTGACTGCCTGCATTCTGCCAGCCCTGGCCTGTCTGTTGATTGACAAAGGCACTTTGTCGGAAAGGGTTGGTGCTACCCGTCGCGTGCACAGTGAGTCCACCCTGTGGGGAGAGGGTGCTTTGTGGCGATGGTTGCCGTGCGAATGGATTTGTGCCAGTAGGCGTGGGCTGTAGAGGCTGGGGTTGTTGTGGCTGCTGTTGCAGAGCAAATGGTGACTCTTGAACTGAAGGCATGGAAAAGGGCGGAGAATTGACCGGCGACTGCGATTGTGCTGAAAGTCCAGTGTTGTGTTTTGCAAACGGATTCGTTGATGCACGGTTGAGTGAGCTGGCACCAGTCGGACTACTGGGTAGCATCGATTGGCGGAATGGATTTGTTGAGGTTTGCTGAGGCTGCAGAGGCTGCAAAGGCTCGGCAATGGTAGGAATCTGCATCTGCTGTGGTTGCTGCTGTTGTGAGAAATCAGGCATGCCGTTCTGTGGTATTGATGGCATGGCGTTCTGTGTGCCGTAAGGTTGTGGCGAGTAGCCACCAAAGCCTGCGCCGGTAAACTGGGCCTGGAGTTGGGGCGCTTGTGGCTGTTGGCCTAGTTGGAAGGGATTCGTACCCTGGCCATTTTGCATTGGGAAAGGCTGTGGTTGTTGGGGGAAGCCCATGTTCGCTGTCTGCTGTGGAACCTGGAAGCCTGTTTGTTGGGGATACTGCTGCATCATCGGCTGTGTAGCCATGGTTTGCTGGTTGTCCTCGAGCGACTCAAACAGATCAATCAAAGGTGCGTTTGCAGAGGGTTTGGTCGGAGCTGCTGCTGGCTGCTGGCTAGTAGTATTGCTAGAGGCCGACTTTGAGTCCGTAGACTTGCTCGCCCCATTGGTGGATTTGCCCCCATTCTTTTTCGCCTCCTTCTCGGCAATGTACTGTCGTCGATTGATCTCAAAATCCTTATCGGCCAGGTACTCTTCCAATGATGCAGCCAGACTGGTCGGGGCGTGCTTGATTCGTGGAATCTCCAATCGTGTTGAGTGTTCATGCGACCTTGCCAGGCTAAGGTACTGGACAACGGCTTCGGTTTGCTTGACGAAAGTGCGGTAGACTGCAAGGGCGCGTGTTGCGTCGGGTTTTGATAGTTCGAAGTAGTGTTCTGGTTCGTTAGTATGGCGAAACTCGAGTATGCACGCTCAACTCACCGAGAATATTGATAGTGCCCTCGTTCATGACGTGGAAGAGCACTAACAAGTCCATTGTGAGCAGTCGGAAGGCAGTCAGCGTGATTTCGTTTTCGGGCTCGTCATCGAATGGCTGTTGGGGTCAAAGTCAGCGCGAGTGTGGATGTTGCTGATAAGGGGCATCCTCATACCTGGCACTTGAGCAACGCTCTGATCTGGTCCTGCACACTCTCTGCTTCACGCAGGAGGCCCTTCTCTATGGTCAGGCGCTTGAGGCGGCCCTCACCGCCACGCACGTAGTCGACCTTGGTAGAGCCATATTCGATGGCGCGGCGGAGCAGGTATTCGGAATAGGTGCGGATGTTGTGTCCCTGGGTTTGCACTGTTGGGCGCAATGTCAGCGGTCGAGTCCTGTCAACTAGCACAAGCCAAAGTTTATCCGCCTGTCACCCCAATAAGCCGGGCCAGCGGATTCGCTGTCCGAGCACTGTGGCGTACATGTCTTGAGACGTACCCTCTGTGAAGTGATTGATGGCCAGTTTCCGGTGGGGATTCTGGGCAAGGAATTTGAGCGTAACCTCGGGCTCGCCCTCCCTTATCATCAAATGGACAATGATAAGGCTCTTGAAGACAATGGTCCATGTCGAGTCGCGCAGACGGTTGGTGAGGGCGCGGAAGATTTCAGCGACGCCTGCTTCGCCGGCGTGTGTCGCAACGAGTATGTGTTCGACATACTTTGATTTCGGTGCTGCGAGCTGGCGGGTGTGTTAGTCCATGGCAATGGCGATAGTAGCGGCGATGAGCCGGCTGCGACTCGGTGTAGAGGCAGCGCATACTTGCCTTGATCTTGGTGCCGCCCTTGACGCTCTTCTCAAAGGAGCTGGCCATGGGTTGCTAGGAATACTGCCGCGCCGGGCAGATGGGTGCCCGACTGGGCCGCTGGCAAGACGCTCCGGCGGTCGTCCGGGTCCAAATGAAGATGGTCGCGTTGCACTATCGCAATGGCTCTGCTGGTCCTAGGGCAGCATTACGGCGCGGGGGCAGGGCGGAAGCGATGTTGGCTGAACGGGAGGGACGTGGACTATGGATAGAGGAGAGGGTGAGGTGAGGCCTGTAGGTCGCAGCACCGCGGTCGATGGCCGTTATTAGAGCTGGCCGGGGTGGAGGAGTGAGGCAGGGCGCATGGTGGAGCTTGCTCAGGTCCCTTGGGCGATGACGCTCCCTGGCCCTTCTTGGTTGCGCCCACCGCCCTCAGGGTCCCGCCTGTCCTCCCCCTCCCCCTCCAAACACAAAACGAAACTTTTTCTCGACACACCGCATACACACAGCCAGCCAGCCACACCACAAAATGTCTGCTTCACCGCCCCCAGAGGAACGCGAAAAGGCCGACGCCGAAGCCCGCGCAAAAGAGCAGGCCGAGCAGGCCGCTATGCCGTACAAGTGGGACCAGACCATCAAGGACCTTGACATCACCATCACCATTGACGCCAAGTACAAAGGCAAGGACCTCGACATCAACATTGGCCGCAACTCCATCAAGGCCGGTATCAAGGGCGAGACACCCATCCTGCACGGTGACTTCCCCCACCCCGTCCGCGTCGACGACTCCACCTGGACACTATCCTCGACCGGCTCCGCAAAAGAAATCTCAATCCATCTCGACAAAGTCAACCAGCTCGAATGGTGGCCCCATGTTGTCACCACTGCCCCCAAGATCGACACCTCCAAGATTCAGCCTGAGAACAGCAAGCTGGGCGACCTCGACGGAGAAACGCGGGGCATGGTCGAGAAGATGATGTACGACCAGAGGCAAAAGGAACAGGGCAAGCCCACCAGCGATGAGCAGAAAAAGGCCGACATCTTGAAGAAGTTTCAGGAGCAGCATCCCGAGATGGACTTTTCAAATGCCAAAATCGGCTGAGGGGATACACAACGATGGGCACTCCAGCCCCGTGACGAAGAATACGCTCATGGACGTGATAAAGATGAGCCGGCGGAGGAACGACAAGGCCATATCGGGTCGTATGCGTAGAAGGAAATCAGCGATCGGCGATGTCCGGATTGCCGGCAAGGATGTGCTGACACGAACAGACTAAGATGCATTATACGAGATTGGACACCTGTAAACACGGTTTCATTGAGCATCCGATCCTAGTCGATTATGTGAGATAAAATTCAAATTCTAGGATAATTACGAAAAAGGGACTGTTTGAGATTGCGTTGTCGGTGCAATACTTTTGGCTCCTGGTCAAGCATGCAATACTGGAAAGCACAAATCATAGAACGCCGTGCGCCAAACAACTGGGGGTATCATGCAATCAAGCTCAGGATCAAACTAAGCCGCCCAAAGTGACAGGAAGCAAGAAACAGAAATATACAACGATAGTCCAAGACCGTTGGACTGTTCACCTCTTGAAGCCAATTTACAGTGAAAGAAAACAAATGCTGAAAAGATGGGAGCCGTAACATGCTGGCACAACACAACGAAGAGCGTCCCACTACTAGTATACCAGAGCGCTGCAACGATATAGAGGAACAAAACCGCATCATCTCGATATCTGTTTGCTACATCGATCATCATCTTTCATGTGATCGTTTTTCGGCGATTTGATCTGGCGTGCCTGTCTATTGTGCCCAAGGATATCGCTCAACTCAACATCCACAGCCGACTCCCGTGTCGCCTGCGAACTCGTCATCATCTCTTTGACACTCACCTCTCTCCATGGTTGATATTGCGCATACCTGCCCGTGATCTTTTCAACTATCATGCTCCACGCACGCCTGCACTCTGCTCTTGTAGTGAAGATATAGATGATTGCGTTCCAGGCACCTTGAAGCGGCAGGACCGTCGCGGAAAGAATATTCAGAGCAAAACTGGGCCGGTCTTTGTGCGTGAATTGGTACATGCGGTTTATACTGCTGGGCAGCCAGACAACGAATAACGCTAAGAACATGAGGAAGGCAACGTAGAAGTATGCCATTGCTGCAGCATGGCCCTCTGGTGTTCTTTTAGCTGGAGGGCGGGGTTTCGATATCGCTGTTGGTGGTACAGTCTTGGGTTCTGGAGGTGGGCTTGTGGCGATTATTGTTGCTCTGTAACTGCTTCGTGATGGTGGGGTGTGGTGGAAGTTGAGTTGCGCTTCCACGTCCTCTAACAATCTAGAAATCCGGATCGGAGAAGTATCGTGGAGCGGGCCTGAAAGCAGCACATCGGGTCTACGAATACTGGAAAGTCTCTGCGTGCTCGAGAAGGAGTTGATCGAAATGCAATCTGGATCCGGAGAGACACTCCTGAACACATCACTTTGCTGCTGGGTATCGCACTCAATCCGCGTCGTTACAACAATGTTATTCCTTCCCGACAAAACATCTCCGGCGCTTTCTCTTTCGTCGCTCGGATCCCGCACTGTTACGAATTGATTCGAGTCCCGAGAAAAATACCGCAATTCGACTTGCTTCTGCCAAATTCGGTACCCCGTCACACTGTAAATGGTAATAGCCGCCAAAATGGTGACCCTTCACAGCTCCTATCAGCAACTTACTAGCAAGCATCTGAGAAAGGACAGGGACCCACCACGCAGGAACATAGAAGAATGCTATGCGCATCCACTCAACATCAACAGATACCCAGCACCATAGCATCGCAGAACCTATAACGGGATGACCAGTTCGGCTAAGCACAACATAAGCTATGACTGGTATACACGGGATACCGTAGTTAAAAGCAAAATACCATTTTTCCAAATGGCGTAGCTGCTGCGCGCCATAGCCGTAAAAGAAGACGAGGAAGACGTTTAAGGCCATGCAAAGAACCCAGAAGGAATCGGCGACCATGAACCATTGGATGAGAAGACCTTGAAATTCACACAGGCCAGATGCAGGTTCACCCGGCGCTGGTAACACCGAGTTCGACATTAGTGTTGCGACATTTGTGAGAATATTGCCTAGCGTGGCGTAGAAGACTAGGCGGTTGATTGCTGTTCGAGCGAGTCAGTCCATTGTACCAGAAAGACCTGTCGCTCGACTCACGTTTTCGGAAAAAGGGAAAGGCGATGAATGTGGCGACAATGATACTGGACCCTACGACTGAGAATATCGATGCTATCCGTGTGGCGACTACAAAGCCGAAGGCTTTGTGGTATGGGAGTTTGGTGGCCATGTCTGAGGGATGGGAAAGAGTTGTATGTGCAGGGCTTTGGTGGGAACGGTGGTATTTCGAGACAATTGTTATACCATCCATTCAACTGTGCGAAATGGGCGACTGGTACACCACAAAGACATTGACGAGACTCTCAAGAGTGCGAAAGATACGAACGTATGGTTCTGGGGCATACCCGCTGCGCAAGGGCTTAGATCTTGTCCCCCCGAAGGGATGACTATGAGCATCTGAAGTGTACCGCCAAGCTATCCCGGACAAAGGCGGGATTCAAGAACGCATCCACTTACATTCTTCCAAAAGAAGGAAAATGTTTTGAGACGTGGGGCACGTACTCCAGCTCCACCAGAGTTTCAGTGGCTCTTTACAGGAAACGGCATCGTGCTACGAAGATGGCTTAGCAACGAGGATACAGGATTTGCCCCCTCCCCTTCGCTCACATGAGCACGACGTCGGGCAAGTGACCTGAAAACGGGTTTTCAAGGAAAGCGGGAAATGCAAAGACGGAAACAGTCAGCCTGATTTCGGGTAATGGCGTTCTGACGAATGAATGAGAGAGGTAATACTGGCTTAACGGCTCGAGGTGTGTTCTTCCGCCCCCGTATCACGAAGGACCGTATTAACTCGATTAGCTGTTTTCAGCACGATTCGTACCGAGACCCAAAATGCATCTATACTGCGACAATAGTATCTAGTAGCATGTGCAATAAGTTCCACTCATCCGCCTAGAACGCCAAAAAAACACCCAGTCCACATAGTAATAGCAACCATACTCTAGTGTCCGCAATCGTCAACCCCATCCCCCCTCTTTACCTCCCGACGCACTTACCCTCTCAAGCAACATGGCGCTGCACCGTTTCTTGAAGCTGAGCTCACCCACCAATCAATCCATCTACACACCAGCAATGCCAAGGGCAGTTCAGCCGTTGCCTCAGAACAACGGCCGTCGCCAAGACCAACCCCATCACGCCCTCCCCGCAACTCCTACCGTAAACGCTAATTGGCCGGGTCGCCCCTCCGTCCATCTGTGACTTGCGCAAAGCACCACGCCCCAATCTATCAAAGAAAATGGTAGGAATGCCCTTGCAGCGCGTGGCTTACCCGACTGTGTCAGACGACGTTTTTATTTGCCTCAGGGAGAAAAGAGTGATCGAAACGCCACAATGATACCTGCTTGCATTTACGAGATAGTAGTGAAAGAAATGAAATAAGAGGTACTACAAACTGTACTCTTATCGAGGCAAGGACTCGAGCTAAACGGTGAAATTGTAGCACCAGCGTCTACTGGTCAGTATGGCGCAAAAAAGCTGAAATGATTCGCTGGGTCCGGGTACAGGTATGATCGGATACTTGTCGGGGTAAGCTATGCCAAGTTGGCAATGCCCGGTTACTGGGTCACACACTACGTATATGGCGCTGCATGCGTACAACACTGCTAGAATTTTCGCGTGGCGTGGCAGTGCTGAAGGTAGTTACACGGGTTGGGACTGGTCTATGACAAAAGATATCGCCGGGTAGTAACACGCTTTGAACGAAGGCGGTTGGAGAGAACAAGGGAAAGTAATACAAGACTGTTCCTTCGGGGTACTGCTAAGTAGCTGGGAGTATCCTTTTGATTTGATTGGCTGCCGTAAAAGAGCCTGGCCGTCTTGAAGACTAGAGTATCGGGGTTCTTGGGATGAATTACCTTGATACTGATGACCACAGTGAATATTCCGTACGATTGTGGCAACGGCGTGGCAAACGGTGAAAAGGCTGAACTCAATCGACCCTTGCATACTTGACGCATTCCATGAATAGCTAACGTACCGCGAGGGCTTACGCTTTCGGGATTGGCGTAGTACTTGGAGTGTACATGCAAATTGTGGGACCACAACAGTTCCGATGAAAGACATTGAGCAATTGCTACGCTAACTCGCTTGCAGAATCGGCTTATGGTACCTATGCGTTGCGCTCTTTCTCAGAACAGAGGGGGCTAGCCTTGCCTTGCTCCTGCTAGTATCTATAATATTACAACCTTCTATCGCGAAAAGGCTTATAACATTTATAACCGGTGCAGGTCAGCTGTAGCTATAGATATAGTGTTAGCAGCGATAGACTACACCTAAGCTGCTTTAAGTTAGGTGTGCAGGTCTTTCTTGTCTAGCACTTCTAGCGGGTACTTAGTACCATTACAGAAGCACGACAACCTCTCAGATTTAGGTACAGCGCTTAGAACGGAATGATTCTATAACAAGCTATAAGCTAACAGACTTTCGATAAGATCTATAAGCTGTTGACGCACCTACTGCTAGCTAAAGCGAGGCGGTTGCGTGACGCTTATACTGCATTGTCGTATGATATATGTAATATAAGGCTCCTAATCTGAGAATTTCTATTCTTGTAACCTGCTGTAGATTTCATTATGTCGGGGCGTGTCTGTGGCGGCTCGCCACGCAGTGTATCTCGCTACGTAGTGACCGACGTTATAACTATTGTGTATTGCATTTCACCGCAAACGCGGTAGGATCAAACTATTTACACGTGTATGCTATCGTTTTCAGCACAGAGGTGATCTCTTCAGCTTTCCCGACAAATTGATTCATATGGCCACCTCATGTGGTTCTGACCTAGCCGTTGATGCCACTCTCCTTAGCCGCCAAGGTAGTTGTGGTTGCAGCAGACAAAATCGTTTCCACCCGGACAAACGCGATCTGCAACGCACATCAGGGACCGGATCATATCTAGAGCTGCCAAAATCAAACGACTTACCGCCGTTCAAAGACCGGCAACCTTCTCTCCATAGGCACTGAGTACCGGAGCCGTGGCCCGGGCAGTCAGGGATGACGCACGCCATGATGTTGTCCGGGTCATTAGGGCAAGGCCAATTACCGGGATATCCAGTGTACGCAATACCGCCCCATCTAGTGCGGCATACATTATGGTCGAGGCAAATGCAGTCATCGCCCCAGTTGTTTGAACAACGACCACCAACGGCCGCTAGGGTCGGAGCTGCGCCGAACAGGAATGCAAGGGTAGCACTAATGAGCTTCATGTTAGAAGTGGGTTGATGAGTTGATCTGCTTTGAAATGGATTCTGCGCGTCAGACAAGAAGCCCCCGGTGTTTATATAGACGCAGCATCGATTAGTACTACTATATGGCTTCTGCACGACGGTGTCACTGAATGAAGATCTATCCTCTATCAGAAACTAGTTGGTAATAGTTACTTGACTTGACTTCAAATTCGATTTACCTAAGGCTCATTTGGTTTGCTGTCAGCTGAGGTGTCTTCGGCTGAAGTTTCCTGTTCATCCGCTAAAGTCTTCTCAGCTGAGGCCGTTTTGCTTTATACGGTACTCTAACGTTATTGCCGACCCACCGAACGTGTCAAGGTGGGCCAAACCAAACTAATTTAGCTTAACGGTTCTCATGACCGGCTGGCAAGAAGACGATTCTAGTAGTTACGCAGGTTGACACTTATTATAGTCTTATTGTTTATTTGGAACTTGACCTATCATGACTCTTCCAACTTGACCCATGAGCGGCTGGCTCTTCAATTAAACTTTTTGTAGCTAGCTTGGTGTTTCCTCTACATGGCACTTCGTTTCGAAGCCATATATCCTAGAAGTAGCCACTAAGTTAGATTTTGGGCATCAGCTTCTATGGCACTTCTGCAGCTAACAGGGGGCACAGGAAGTGAGTGACACCCTAATTTCACAAAAGAGACAGCTAACGATGTAAGAAATAGTGAAAAACATGCATATGATTTCTTGACAGATTTCGCTGCCTTCAATATATCCCAAATCCTGAAAACAAACATCTCTACGTAGCAGCCACCGCCGCATCCGTGGTTTTCCCTACATCACTCTTCACGGGCTCAGCTTCCCTCCTCTGCTTCCCAGAAATCAAATACACATTCGCCCTCACCTCCAACAAGGGATCATCACTCGGCTCTACACCCTGAACTCTCGGAATGGGATCAAAAATCACATTCCTCTGCTTCTCCAAACTCTCATCCTCCCCTAGCGTTTTCTCAATCGTAATCGTACCCAGCTCAACCACCTTCCGTTCTTCAGGCCAAATCTGCGTCGCATCATCCGTTACATCGCCCTCCTCCGCAATTTGCGCAAGAAGCTTAAGCTCAATCGGAGCTTTCTCAAGACGCGGTGTCAATTCGTCGAAAAGGTAGGTATCGGACTTGCTCTTGAGCGCTTCAACATCGACATGCTGCTCGCCCGCAACAGGCACAATGCGATATCGCAGCGTGGTAACTTTATCTTGCTTGACAAACTTGAACGCATTTACACCAAAGAACTTTTCCGTAGCAAAGCTCTCGGGACTGGGCTTAGGATCTTGAAGGAATCGCGCGGTTTCAGGGTGGCGAGATAGAAACTCGGGGACGGCTTCGGCGGCATTGCTGCTTGTTGCTGCTTTGAGGAATTCGAGGAACTCGGCTCCTGTGCGTGTGGGGAAGTATTTTGTAGAATGGGCGATTATGTCAGTGTGCTGCCGTTTGCCGTTTTGCTCCGGGAGGTGAAATCGGATTGCGATTCCGCGCGGGTTGGCGTTGGCGTCTGTGTCGGGGATTTGGGGGAGGCCGGTTGAGGAGGAGAAGCGGACGGTGATTGGTGTGGATGCAGCGTTGAAATGTGGGGCTGAAGTCAGCTCGGCGGCGGAGGAGGTAGGTGTAAAAGTTCCGGCTAAGAGATGGCCTTTTGCGTGGGCTGCGTTAGGAGTGGGTGTTAGTGACCTGAAAGGGTCATGCAAGGGGAGAACGACGAACCGGGTCGAAAGCTTTTTGCTGCATCGCCAGCCATTCCGCGAAGTGTGCTCACGAGACCATTGCTAGTCTCTAGCACCTGGGTATCGGTTGAAAGTGGCATGCTGAAATATCTTCTAACTTGAATTTATCGATCAATCGAGTGCAAGTTGAGGACTGTGTTTCTGTACTTAAGAGTTGATTGCCATTTCCTGCGATCCATCTTGCAAGACTATATACACGCCCCATCTCCTCCAAAAGGCACTATTATTTGTCACGAACACCATGAAAACCCCTCAATTCGATGATTCATAACATGTTTAACATGTCGTCTTATCGATCCAGCATACACAAACTACAACCCGGGTCCGCTAGTCTAATGCGTGTAGTTTCATTGGCTAATAAGGTCCTACAGGCGTGCTGACTGCATGCTTACTTGCAGCGTCCCGTGGCTGTAGCACGTATATTTACAAATACGTCTTGAGTTCTTGTTGGATTTGCGATACAATGCAGTTTACTAAGTCAGCTTAATCATCTGCTAGGCCGCTTTGAGGTTAGTACAAGGCGCATTTGGTTTCCTCTGGCCATTTGTACGTCAATGGCGTAATCATCGTTCACTGGTTTCCTTGGTTTTGTCTTGTATCACATTACATGTTGATTGGATGATTGGAGGTATACAACCATGTTTGAAAGGGGGTTTGGGGTTGGCTTGGTGCTTCTGTCATTTTCAAGACATTCATTTCTCCCGCTCTTCTCAGGACCATGTCACGTGGTCCCGCGACTTCTTTATCGCTGTTTGCGTTCACAAAATATTGCGACTGAGATATTTGGGGGAATGTGAATAGTAGACTGTAGTGGCTATAGATATACTATTGTCAAGACGCTCAGCCCAGCAACGAATTAATACCGCATGCTTCTTGGTAGTCTCCACCTACTACACCTTCCAAAAATTTGGCCATGAATTTATTTCCATGCCTAACGCTTGGAACAAATACCATGGATTCCCTTCATGTGACAATGTCATAGTCATGCTTTTAAAGCATGTATTACAATGGCTCCTAAGGCACTACTACAAGATAGTACAGCAAAGGTAACAGTGGCAGTCACAAGTCCCCTGAGGATTTATCCATGCTGATTGAAACAAATCATCACTACCATTACAATGCTCTAATATCAGCCATGTTTCATAGTGTATGCCATTTGGTCAAGCTGTCATGCGGACCTACATTGTCTGCACGTACTGTTCGGCATGCTTTAATATCGTCCGGACAGCAATCTCCAGGAGGATCCTGTGTTCTCGCTTTTAGCATGCATAATCTGTTATAGATCACACAATTGGATATACGTACCCCTTACTAGGACTCGCAGGCTGGCAAATGGGATTGCGTATGCTAAGGGTGGCAGATGCAAAACCTGCAAAGAGCAATACAACGGGGATAACGTTGAAAGCTTGGTATCGCATCGTAGAGACTGTTTATAGGACTTGTTTAAGTATGTGCGAGAAGGATTGGAAGACCTGAGTTGGACAAATACTCAAAAAGCTCTTTATAGGCCCAGATGGAAGTTTATATACTTGGGCTTATATCCGTTGCTCCCACGGGCCGAAATCTACGACCCCAGTGGACCCAGTAACTTGGTGAAGGGTATTTTGACGAAGGTATACAATACCTGAAGCGGTTCATCGGTGTGCTCCGGATGTTATCAGTGAACGGTTGGTAGCCCTAGATTGCGAAAGTAGATGCACGATGGAGCTTGCGCTAGCCTGATTCGTCAATGCTAGTGGGACGGAGTGAAGCCTGTGCGCCAAGGCTATGAAGTCCAGTCCTCTTGCAATACCCCAACGGCGGTGTCAATGTACAATATGTATCATAACATTTTGCAAACTTCCATCAAGCATTCTTGGTCCAACGGTAGGATAATTGCCTTCCAAGCAATTGGCCCGGGTTCGACTCCCGGAGGATGCATAACATCCTTCTCTCGATTGCAACGTTATGACTTTTTTTTGGTTCCGGTCTTTTTAAGCGAAGTTTATGAGAGGGGGGCGGGTATTCTCCACTAGGATGGCACGTTAAAAGATACAGCTTATTCAAATATGATTACAACTTAAAATGAGCTGACTACGATGGCCTGTCATTCCAGCCCAAATAGATTGCTTGGATAGCACTCCCGTTTTCATCATAGGTTACCTATGTACAGGGTACTCCATCTTCCGGAAAATTCAATGCATGTCTTAACAAAAATATCATGTACCATGTCTCCGAATGTACCGTCTCAATAAGGCATAACCTTAAGAATTTAGAGAGCGTAAACTTGGTACCTTCCAAACCTTCGTCTACACATGACTGTGTCAAAACGGCAGTCCTCTATTATTGAATGCAGAATATTAACACAGGCGTACGGATCCAGAATACTGACAATGAATACAGACAATTCACTTGGACAACACCTCTTTCCCTTTCATTTACCCGCATAAAGAGATTAGTGACAATTAGAAGAGATTCAAAGCATGAGACTGCGAGAAAAAAACTCATTACCTGCAAACTTCACTCTCATATTATAAAACATGTATGGCGGGTATTATCTCGATCAATTCATGTCCAATCACAGGGAAACCATCCCTTCCCATCACCCTCTCTGGATGTATAAAATTGAAAAAAAAACGTTACTAGATAACATCGTAAAAAAGACCAACAACTCCACCCTCACCCCACAACCTCATCCCTCTCCGCCAACGCCCCATCCATCCCCGCCTTCCTCGGCACAAGTATACTCCTCAAAATACAAAGCTTCCCATTCTCAGGACAAACCTTCTCCCGATTCAACTGCTTATCCGCCGGCCCCGTCGGCCCCCCCGAAAACTTGGCTTGACCAAAAAGCTTAAACTGTCTCTTATCGCTCTCCGGATACTCCTGGTCGCCCCACCTGCCCTTGAAGTTGAGCCAGGCGGTGGGTGCCTGTCCATCATACGCTTCAAACTTGTTGGTGCTGGGCGTAAACTTGTAGTACCAGGCGCTGAGCAGCGGGTCCCAGACGGTGCCTCTGTTGGTGTAGTCTTCAAGGACGCCGCCGGGGAGGTTGAGGTTCGGGATCGTGTGGTCGTGGGTGCCGCCCATGGCGTAGTTTGCGTGCGAGCCTTTGGACGAGTAGGCAATGGGGCGGATGCCGGTGGCGTCGCGTTCGACGGCTGAGTAGCGGAAGGCTTGGCCGTTGGCGTGCTGCGAGAACCAGATTGCGGTGGGTTGGCCGTTGGAGAAGCGGACCATGGTGTGTTCCCAGTCGCCGACATGATTGCCT